CACAAGTGGGGCACCCACGGTCCCGTGGGCATGGCCCGGCCCCGACCTGGGCTCAGCTGCCTCCCATCACCCTGCACGGCTCCCGGAGCACCTGCCATGGGAGGAACCCGGCAGGGCTGGGCTGCGCTGGGCAGGGCTCGACAGACAACCAGTGCAGCCCACGGGCCCAGGAAGGGCCCGACCGCCCCTTCTGACCGGGCAGGGCTCGTTTGACGGTGCTGCTGCTGCTCCCCACGAAGGGCTGCAGCAGCAGCACCGCCCGGGACAGGCCCCGCTCCAGACCGCCCTCCCTTTGTATCACCGGTTTCTGCCCTCCCGCCTCCCGGTGTTCCCAAGCGTACGTGTTCACAGCATTTGGACATCCACGCCTCTACCTCCTTTTGGAGCCCCAAACACGCCGAGCGCTCCCAGCCCCGCCTCGCCCGGCCGCGGCGCTGCCCATCCCCGTAGCATCAGGGCACAGCTGCCGCCGCCGCTGCCGCGCCCGCCGGGCTGGGCCCGCGGGGCCGCTCCCACTGCTCCGGGCCGGGGCACCGCTGGCCGCAGGGTCTCGGCCCACCATCGCCGGTGACGGCGCTCGGAAGCAGTCGGGGCGCGGGGCCAGTCCCGTTCCCCCGGTTCCCCGCTGGGGCCCGGCAGCACCGGGGGCGGCTGCGCTCGCCCGGCCCCGCGGGCTCGGGGCGGGACTCGGGGATCCCGGCCCCCCACCTGCCCCAGCTACCAGCATGGAAACCGCGCTGTCGCCCCACGGCCTCCACCCCGGGACCGACACCGCCACGGCCACCCCCGCCTCGGGGTCCCGGGCCCGGGTCGCTCAGCGCGGGGCGCCGTCCCCGCCGCTCCCCCCCCGCACCTCTCTCTTGCGGACGATACCGCGGGCACGGCGGCGGCCGATGCCGCTGAGGGCACCCTCCAGCTCGGCCACGCCGGCGCGGTTGATGTCGAGCTTGGCCCCGGCGGGGCCCGGCCCCGACATCCCGGTACCGGTCCCGGGCGCTGCCGCCGCGCAGGCCCCACAGCACCGCGCAGGCGCGGCCCCGCCCCCACACGCGCAGACGTAGCTGTGAGGAAGCAGCGGTTTTATTGGTGATTGCGCGCGGGGGCGGAGCCAGCCGCGCTGGCCCCGCCCCACCCCGGCGCTCCGGTCACCGCCGCTTGTACAGACACGGCCGCAGGCGCAGCCCGGGAGCGGGACCCGGCCGGGCCGGGCCCGTCTTGGCGAACTCCAATACGTAGAAATAGGAGCTGGAGAGATCCTGGGGGCGTAGGGATACCCGACTCTGTTACCGGCACCCCGGAGCCCCCATCATCACCATAGCCCCGGAACACCCAACCCCTCCGGCACCACTCAATGCTGCCTCAGCGAACCCCGGGTCCCCCCTGCCTCCTTCCAGACCCCCACTGTGCCCAGACCCTGGCTCCAAAGCTCTTGTGGGGACTGAGTACCCTGGCCCCCAGCGTGCTCCTCTAAATGCCCAACACCCCCACACCACAATTCCTCCAGGCCCTGGGACCCCCAAGCCCCTCCTGGGCTACACATCCAGCTCTAGGCCCCACACTGCAATCCCAGTGCGCTCCTGGCTCCCCTCATCCCCTCTCCAGCCCCATCCAACCCGCGTCCCAAACTGCCACAGCATGCCCCCACGGTCCCCAGGACCTCCAAGCCTTCCCCCAGGACTCCACCCCTGTGAGTACGTGTGCCCCCGTTCTCCCACCTGCAGTCCCCCATGGACCAATCCCTTCCACCTCCATCTACTTTCACCATCCCCTGGTCTGCTCCACGCCAGGCTGGGCCTCAGACCCGCCCCGGACCCCTTCCCTGCACCTGGCTCCTGATGCACCCAGTGCCCAGCCCTAGGCACACACCTTGGAGACGGTCTTGAAGCCCAGCTGCGTCATGGCCTTCAGGAAGGCACGGATGTCCTCAAAGCGGCTGGCCACCTCGGCCACCAGCAGGGTCCCCCTGTGGTCACTTGAGCACTGAGCAGGGTGCCCAGGCACGCCCAGGACGCTGCTCAGCATCCCTGCCCCAATCCCCCACTGCCCCACGACCTCTGCCTACCCGAGCTTGAGCACACGGTTGGCCTCTCCTAGGATCTCCTGCAGGTTGGTGCCCATCAGCGCCAGGCAGAACACGGCCACGTCCACCGACTCAGCCGCCAGCGGCACCTGCCCACCCCGGGACACCCCCGGAGAAGGAGGATGACGACTTGGCCTGGAAGCCGCTCTGCACATCCCCGGGAGCAGGAGGAGGAGGATGGCGATGTTGATGGGGCCGGGACACACCCCCGGACTCCGCAGGCTTGTGCCCCAGGCACACACCCAGCTTTCGAGCAGACACAGCCGTGCTTCCCCCCGCACGGGACCCTCGGGTCACGGTCCCCCCACCCGCACGCCCTCCCTGCCCCGTACCTTGGCCATGTCGCAGACGGTGACCCGCGGGCTCAGCGGCACCAGGTCGAAGCAGTGCACCTGGTTCTTGACGCTGGCGGCCAGCGTGCAGTCCCCGCAGCCAAAATCCGCCACCACGAGTGACGCGGGGCTGGGGCAGGACGGCGGGCTCAGAGCGGCGCCTTGGCCCCGCTCCGCTCCCCCGATCACTCCCGGGCCCCACCGCTCATTCTCGGTCCATCCCCCGGCTCTCCGTTCAGCCCCACCGCTCACGGCCCCCCGGTCCATACTCCCCCAGGCCTCGCCCTCCCGCTCACCGGCGGCGCAGGTAGCGCACGATGCGCTGCACCGGGCGCTCGGGCCAGCGCCGCACCTGCCGCTCGAAGCCCCGGTGGTAGAGGTGGAAAGCGGCGGGGTCGGCGCGGAAGAGCCGCGCGGCGTCGCGGCTGGTGCCGGTGTAGAGCTGCTGGTTCAGATAGCGGAACCGGGCGCCGAGCAGCCGCTCCTCCATCCGCGCGCGGAGCGCGGCCGAGCGGCCCGAGCGGGGCTCCGGGGCAGCCTCCGCGGGGCCCGGCGGCTCCGGGGGGCCCGGCCCAGAGCCCCGCTCCCCGTCCGACCCCGCCGGCGGCTCCTGCTGCTGCTGCCGCTTCTGCCGGTTCCGCCGCTGCCGACGGCTCAGTCCCGCCGGCTTCCCGGACTGCTCCGCCGGCTCAGCCGGGCCGTCTGGGGGCATCGAGAGGGGGCTCAGGGCGCGGAGGCGGCTCCCTCCTGCCCGCCGGGCCCCGGAGCCGTCCCGGTACCTGTGTCCGGCCGCTGCCCAGCCTGCCGGGGCTCGTCGGGACCGGCCGGGAGTTCCCCCGCCGCGGCCCGCGGCCCGCCGGCCTTCTTCCGCTTCCGGGGCTGCTTCCGCGCCGCCTCGCCGTCCCGAGCGGTCCCGGGCAGCCGCCTCTTTCGTGGGTGCTGTGGAGAGTGGGGCCGGTAACTACCCCGCGCCCGGGACTGCCTGGCCCGCCGCCCCGCATCGCCCGCTTACCGGTCGGCCCGGGCCCTCCGGGGCGCCGCGGGGCAGCGGCTCCGCTGCATCGTTCCAGCCCTGCTCCGCGAACATGGAGCGGGGACCCTCGGTCGGCACCGGGACGCACGTGCTCCCGCCCCGGAGCGCCGCGGGAACAGCCCCTCCTTGCGGCCCGGAGGACCGGGCGGGAGCCTCGGCTGCACGGGCGGTGCCGCGGCCGGCCCGCTCCGCCCCCGACCGGGTGACCGCGCTCCCGATCAATTCGGCACGCCCCGTAACCCCGCGTCCAGCCCGCCTGACCGTGCTCTGCGGCCCCGGCCCCGCCCCGCCCGGTGCCGTGGGGCGGAGCCGCTCGGGCGGAGCCCCCGCGCCGTCCCGCGCCCGCCGCAGCCGCCGCCCTGCGGAGCCGCCGGGACACGCACCCGGTAACGGCGGGACGGCACCGGCACCGAGCGGGGACAGGTTGGGGAGGCCGCGAGTGCGGCTGCGGGCGACCCGAAGCTGGGGCAGGGCCGGACGGAGCCCTGCCGGAGCCGGAGCCAGGGCCGGGGCCGGGCCGGGAGCTGCAGGGGAGGGGTGGGGGCTGAAGGGGAGGGTTGGGTTAGCAGGGAAGGGTTTGGGGGTACAGGGGAGGGCTGGGGGCTGAAGGGGAGGGACTGATGGGGCCGCAGGGCAGAGCGGGGCCCTTGCAGCTGGTTTGGGGTGACACGGAGAACTGTGTCTCCACATCCCGTCCCCTACCCCGGGTGCTGAGCAGGCCGAGGGGGCACTTGGCCATCCGGGCAGGGCTGGGGCCGGTTGGCCCCGGCGGGGCTGGGTAGGGGCCGGTGGGTGACAGGAGGACACAGTCCCGGGCCGAGCAGGGGACAGCGTGGGGCCAGGATGGGGTGTCATCACTGCGGTGTGAGGTCCCACAGGGCCGGGACTACTGTGGCGTGTCCTGGGGACCCCTTTTCATGAGGTGCCCCCAAATGGGTGGGGGATAAATATTGTCCGGGAGTGTGGGTGTTCTGGTGCCGGGACAGGGCCAATGCTGCAGTGGGCGTGCTGGGGCCGTTCTGGGCTGTATGAGACCCTGGCAAAAATCGAGTTCTGCATCCCGCCCCTCTGGAGCTGCCTGGGGCAAGGGGTGCAGGCAGGGTCCTGGGGGACAGCTGCAGTGCTGGCAGCTGGTGAGGGTCCCGCTGTGTCTGGGTGGGCATCAGGTCCAGGGGGATCCTCCAGCAGCAGGTTTGAGCCCCAGTGAGTGCATGTCGGGTATGTCATATTCAGCGTGACTGTCCCCACACTGCGAGACTCACTGCATGTCCCTGCTCAGCATCACAGACCTCCGGGCAGCAGGTCCCACGCTCGCAGCCGGGGGCTCAGGGGACATGGGGAGCAGGAGGGAGCTCAGTGCCTGGCTCTGAGCTAGGGTGTCCATGGATCCTCCATGTCTATGGGGTCCTCCATGCACGAGGCTTTGGGGTCCCCCTTTCTGAGCATGGCCCATGCCAGGCCCAGCCAAGTGGGTCAGGAGGGTCACGGGGCTGCAGGATCCCATGCCAGGGATGCTGAGCTACCCCAGCCTCACTCCCTCCCAGAGCTGTGGGCACAGGGGCCGGCTGTGCCTGGTGATAAGCCCGGGGGTGCCAGCTTGGCTTCCTGTGGGTGGCCACAGCCCTGCTGGAGTCACCCGGGATCTTCCCCTTGGGCTGCAGGTCCGGCTCCAGCCCAGACCTCAGCCTGCCTGCGGCTTCCTGGAGAGCTGCAGGGACGGGGCGGGAGGGATCAGGGATGGGGCAGGAGGCTCCTGTATTGCTGTTCCAGGGCCCTCCCCACTCAGGGGGGTCGGGGTCCCCATGTCCTTACCCACGTCCCCCCCTGCAGCTGCCATGGATGACATCTTCACACAGTGCCGGGAGGGCAACGCGGTGGCCGTGCGGCTGTGGCTGGACAACACCGAGAATGACCTCAACCAGGGGTGAGCGGGCTCTGCGGGGCTGGGCGCTGTGCTGGGCGCTGGTTTCCGCCCAGGGAAACCTTCCCTCTCCGTGGAAAGGCAGGGGGCAGATGGCAGGACGCAGCTCCTCCCCGCTGGAGGAAGTTACCGCATCGCTGAGGCACGAGGCCAAACATCCTCTGGCCACTTCCTCACGGCCACAGCCAGGGATCAGCTGGGCTGGGGCTGCCTCCCCTGTCCCCGTGGTGGCGGCTGTGTCCGCTGACCTTATCCTTGTGTCCCCATCCCCTCTCTGGGGAGCACCGTGGCAGATGTGGGACACGGCTGGAACCGCTGGGCTGGGAGCTGTGGGGGCCACGCTGTGTGCCCAGGGGTCTGCTCCCCACAGCCCGTTTGAGGGGTCCTGCAGGACCGTGGGGTTCAGCGTGTGCTCACAGCCATTCAGGAGCCACGACTGTTCTGTGCTGGGTAGCCCCTGCCTGCAGGGTCGTGGTGGTGACAAATGGGGTCTGCTGTGGCAGGGGGCTGGAGCGGGGCTGAGACTGGGGGGAGCCTGGGCTGGAGGGGAGCTGGGGCTGCAGCAGCCCCTTTGCCAGTTCCTGATCTCCATTTAAGGCCTGGCTGCCACCTCCTCCCTTACTTGGTCATGGAGTGGGGGGATGGGGACAGGATCCAGCTGTGATTCAGCCTTGGAGGAGACAGGATTTGGCCTGGGCCGGTGGGGCCCTCGTGGGGGTGGGAGTGGGATGGATGTTCAACCCAGTCCCTTCGTCCCTGCCGCTGGTGTTTTGAGAATGATGCCAGTGATGCCTGGGCCAGGGGGCTACAGCTGAGCAGAGCCCCGTGCCACCCTGCAGGGACGACCATGGGTTCAGCCCCCTGCACTGGGCCTGCCGCGAGGGCCGCTCCAACGTGGTGGACATGCTCATCATGCGCGGGGCCCGCATCAACGTCATGAACCGCGGCGATGACACCCCGCTGCACCTGGCCGCCAGCCACGGCCACCGGGACATCGTGCAGAAGGTACCTGTCCCCAGTGCCAGCACCTGCCCCTCCCCACGCCCTGTGTAGCCCTACACACTACCCTGTCACCTGTCAGGAACACCTGGCATCCCCCCAGCACCCCTGAGCTCCCCACTCCTCACAAACTCCCCACTCCTCACAAATCCCTCTGAGCCCCGCATCAGTTCAGCTCCCTCCCTGCAGCTCCCATTGTGCTGCCCCTGCATCCCCCAGGGCAAGGCACAAGGAGGATGAGGGCTGTCTGGGGATCTTGCCTGGGCTTGCAGGGACAGTCCTGGGCTCACAGGGACTGTCCTGTGTCCCCAGCTGATGCAGTTCAAAGCAGACATCAATGCAGTGAATGAGCACGGGAACACACCGCTGCACTATGCCTGCTTCTGGGGACATGAGCAGGTGGCTGAGGTGAGTGGCAGCACGGGCAGGAGGAGAGCGGGGTGCTAGTGGGACTGAGGGGACATCACGAACCACAGTCCTTGCTCCCTGTTCCCACAGGACCTGGTGGGCAGTGGGGCCCTGGTCAGCATTGCTAACAAATATGGTGAGACCCCCACAGACAAGGCCAAGACGCCACTGAGAGAGGTCCTGAAAGGTACGAGGGTCCCTCAGGACCCCACAACTGACACAGCCTCCAGCCAGCCACAGCAGGCTCTGGGTGCCACCCTCCTCCTCCTCCTCTTCCCCCCCTCTGCAGAGCGTGCTGAGAAGCTGGGCCAGAGCCTCACCAAGATCCCCTACAAGGACACCTTCTGGAAGGGCACAACCCGCACCCGGCCCAGTAAGGACTGGGGGTCCCTTGGGGGGTGCCATGGGTTCCCTGTGCCCTGCTGGCACTGCCTCCTGGAGCCAGCAGCCATAGGCATTCATTCCCCTTCCACTGTAGGGAATGGGACCCTGAACAAACTCGCTGGGATTGACTTCAAACAGCTGAGCCTGAGCCACAAACTGAACGAGAACCAGTCGGGAGAGGTGGGTCCCTCTCACCCCCGGGTGGGCGCTGTCCTGTGCACACCGCTGCGTCCTGGCCCTCCTGGAGGGAGCTCCTCCCCAGCTCAAGGGGCTCCCTTCTCATGGTGGACCCTTGGTCCCATGGGCTCCAGAGCCCCACACAGGGGCCTGGGAGTGCTGGGGACTCTGCACCCTTTTCACAGTGCCTGTGTCTCTGCTCCTCCTGCAGCTGTGGAAGGGGCGCTGGCAGGGCAATGACATCGTCATCAAAATGCTGAAGATCCGGGACTGGACGACGCGAAAGAGCCGGGACTTCAACGAGGAGTACCCAAAGCTGCGGTGAGCGCTGCACCCGGCATGTGCCTGGGATCCCCACCAGCATTTGACCAGGCCACTCCAGCACCTTCTCAGGGCCAGCAGCAGCTCTCAGAGTATGGGGCAGGCAGGAGCCTCCCAGCTCTGTGGGGCCAGGAACGCTCCAGGGTGGTGGCCAAGGGCTGGGAGGCCCTGGGTGATGGCAAAGGGCAGGTGAGTGGGTGCAGGCAGCCCCTTCCTGTTCTTAGGGCTGGCACTTCTCTTGCAGGATCTTTTCCCACCCCAACGTGCTGCCGGTGCTGGGTGCCTGCCAGGCCCCTCCAGCTCCTCACCCCATTGTCATCAGCCATTGGATGCCCTACGGCTCCCTGTACAACGTCCTGCACGAGGGAACCAGTGAGTGCTGGGGGATGGTGTGTTTGGAGGCAGCAGGGGCCTCTCCAGCCACAGCCCTGGCTGGGCTTAGGGTGGGTTGACCCCATCACCCCCTTCCCAGATTTTGTGGTGGACCAGATGCAGGCGGTGAAGTTTGCCTTCGATATCGCGCGGGGCATGGCCTTCCTGCACACGCTGGAGCCCCTCATCCCACGGCACCACCTCAACAGCCGCAGCGTCATGGTGAGTGGGGCACAGCCCCTCTCCCCGGGCAGGGGGGCTCTCAGGGCAGGGGAGCTCCTACTGACCGCCTGCTGTCTCCAGATCGATGAGGACATGACGGCACGGATCAGCATGGCCGACGTCAAGTTCTCCTTCCAGTGCCCAGGGCGGATGTACGCCCCGGCCTGGGTGGCCCCCGAAGGTGAGTGCCCCATTCCCAGCCCTCCCAGACTGGTCCCCTCACCCCCAGTCCCACTCAGCCCCCAGCCATCCCCCAGCCCTGCAGAAGAAACCAGAGGAGATCAACCGGCGCTCGGCTGACATGTGGAGCTTCGCGGTGCTGCTGTGGGAGCTGGTGACACGTGAGGTGCCCTTCGCTGACCTGTCCAACATGGAGATTGGTATGAAGGTGAGGGGGTGGAGGGGCAGAGGAACTGATCTGGGTCAGAGTTAGGGGAGAAGTTCTGGCCATTGAGGGTGGTGAGGCCCTGGCATGGGTTGCCCAGAGAACTTCGGCTGCTCCATCCCTGGAAATGCTTAAGGGCAGCTTGGAGGGGGTGTGGAACCACCTGGGCAGGTGGAAGGTGTCCCTGCCTCTGGGGGCAGGGTCCCAGTCCTGACTCTGGCTCCTCTTCTTGCTTGCAGGTAGCGCTGGAGGGGCTGCGTCCCACCATCCCCCCTGGCATCTCCCCCCACATCTGCAAACTGATGAAGATCTGCATGAACGAGGACCCAGCCAAGCGCCCCAAGTTCGACATGATCGTGCCCATCCTGGAGAAGATGCAGGAGAAGTAGAGAGGAGGCGCCTCCCCCCTCCAGTGCTGCCTTGCGCCCCCCGCCACCCCCAAGTGCCTTTAGCCCTCGAGCCAGGGGGAGCAGAGGACACCCCTGACCCTGAGCCAGCCACGGACACACGGTACAGATGGCACTGCCTGCGCCGGAGCTCTGCAGGCTCCGGACCCCCGCCCAGGGCAGCCCTAACCCAGCCTCTGGGCAGCCCCCAGCCCAGTGCAGCCCCCCTACCCCAGGGCATGGCGTGTGGCTTGGCCCTGCTGCTGGGGGATGGGGCTGTGGGGCCCCCTGTCCCCCTTGCTGGCCAAAGCCCAAGCCAGGACTCAGCCCCCCAAGGCTGGGGGGGAAGGGGCAGGCCAGGAGAGGCCACCTGTGGTGCCCAGCACTGCCCCCGCTTCGCGCTTCACTGGCCACTTCCCTCTGGCCCCACAATGGCCACTGGCAACCAAATAAACTTTTGGTATGGAATCAGCTGCTGGGGTACAGAGTCGGGGAATGGGGGGGGTTGGTTGTGGCTGGGGGGCTGGAGTGACTGGGGGGCTGGGACTCACAGGGGATGTCTAGGACTGAGGGTGAGGTTGGATTGATACGGTGCTGCCTGGCAGCCCACAGAGCCCTGAGCACGAATCACCACCCACAGCACTCCTCTGGTGCCCAGCACAGGCAGGGTACAGGTACAGGGCCCCCTCGGGAGGTGCCTGGTGCAGGAGGGGTGGGCTCAGGGTCCCATCCCTGGCTCCATTTGTAGTGCTGCCTGTGCAGCCCCCAGGGTATTCCCTGTGGGAGACAAGGGGCAGTTTAGGGAGGAAGGAGGAGGAAGAGTGCTGGGTAGTTCCTGTCCCCTAACCCCACTCTGCTCCAGCACTGTCGGGAGCACCGAGCCCCCTGTGACCAGCAGAGGGGGGTGAGCATGTGGAGGACCAGGGCCAGCATTTGTGGATGCAGGACAGGAGCAAGGCTGCCTTCCCACAAAACCCTGCGAGGTGTTTAATGGCACCAACACAACCCCTGCAAACTGCCCAAGCTCCCCATGCTCTACGTGAAGTAATGTGGCTTCTTCACATTGATGCCGTACTCGGCCAGCGCCGGTGTCAGGTCCTCCATGGTCAGCGTGTACTTCTTGTCCTGGGGGACACGGGGCAGGCGGTCACAGCAGGGACAGCCAGGGCTCTGGGACCCCCCAGGGTGCATGGACAGGCGTGTCCCACTCCCAGAGGAGCTGCTGGGCAGCACTAGGGCATTCCCAGCTCCCCACGTTCTGTTGCTCTGCGTCCTCAGACATCCCCAGACACCTAGCATCAAATGCCATTGGCCTTGCAGAGCCCCCGAACCCCAGATATGGCACTAGGAGGCTCCCCAGGACCCCTCACTCCAGCTGCTCCCCAAGCTCAGAGCTGCAGCCACTGCTGGGGTGGGGGGGCACCAAAGTGTGCCCACAAGCTCCATGCTCCCCTCATGTCCCCGCCAGCCCCTCCCCACCTGCAGGGACCACCATAAGCCTGGCAGGTTCTGGGATTTCTGCACCCCGTGTTCCTGCACCCGCTGGCTGCAGGCTCAGCCCCGCTTCCCTCCGTGCCCTCACCTTGCTCTTGCTGCGGGAGCTGCCCGAGGCCGTGCCCTTCATTTTGCAGTGCTGCAGCGCGTCGTTGGCGATGTCTGAGATGAACTTCTGTGCCGCCAGCGAGATCAGGCGGATTCTGCGGGACAGGCACCGTGTCGGCGAGGCAGCAGGGGTCCGTGGGCCCCTCTGCCGGACCCCTGTGGGGTTCCTGCGACTCCCCCCGCCTTGCGGCCACTCACATGCGGGGGTCCGAGGCCTCAAACCCTGCCCGGTTCAGGTAATACCCTGTGACGGCGTCCGGGATCTGGGAAGGGAAGAGTTGGAACAGCTCCACGGCGCCGCGGGAGCGTTTCCACATCCTGTATCCCGCCGCACAGGAGCCGCCCCGCATCCCAGTACGTGGGACCTGCCCCGTGCCCCGTCCCGTCCCGTCCCACAGCAGCCGCCCTGTGTGTCGGTACCGTGGGCGTGTAGTCCTCCAGCTGCATGAGGAAGTCCACGAGCGGCGTGGTGGACACCACGGGCTTCACGTCGCCGTTGGCGGCGGGCGGCACGTACACGCCGTTGGACATGGCCCCGTCCGGGGGGGCGGCCACGGCCGCGGACACCGGCACTACGGGACAGCACGGTCAGCGCCAGGAACCCCGCACGCCGCGCCGGCAACGCGGGACAGCGCGCTCAGCGGGACCCGGGACACCCGCGGCCGCCGCTGCCCCGGCCAGAGCGGCCCAGGGCGTCCCGCGGGGCCCAGCGCCCGCCGCCCCCACCGCGACTCACCGGGCCCCCGCCC